GGGCAGAAATCACCCTGAATTACTGAACTAATTACTAAGGTTATGTCTATTGAACAAATAGTTAATATTGTTAAAGTGGATTTGGTTTTAACAAATCATAAATCCAGTATTACCTATCAGTATCCCACCTTAAGCACCTGAAAGTGGAAAAACTGAATGGCTCAAATTTGGGAAAGGAGTATGACAAGGCTGTATATTGTCACCCGGCTTATTTAATTTTTATGCAGAGTACATCATGCAAAACGCCAGGCAGGATGAATCACATGCTGGAATCAAGACTGCCAGGAGAAGTATCAACAACCTCAGATGTGCAAATGATATCACTCTAAAGTCTCAGTAGGTAAAGAATCCGCCTGCAAAGCAGGAGACCTGGGTTCGATTCCTGGGTTGGGAAGATCCCCTGGAGGAGGGCATGGCAACCCACTGCAGTATTATTGCCTGGGGAATCCACAGGGACAGAGGAGCCTGGCGGGCTACAGCCTAGGGGTTGCAAAGAGTCGGAAACAACTGAGCAACTAAGCACAAGAACCACCCTAATGGCAGAAAGCAAAGAGGAACTGAAGAGCTTCTTGATGAGGGTGAATGAGAGTGAAAAAGCTGGCTTAAAACTCAACACTGAGAAAAACTAAGATCATGGAATCCAGTCCCATCACTTCATGGCAAATAGAAGGGGAAAAAGTGGAAACAGTGACAGGTTTTACTTTTTTTGGGCTCCAAAAATCACTGAAGACAGTGACTGTAGTCATGAAATTAAAAGACGCTTGTTCCTTGGAAGAAAAGCTATGACAAACCTAGATACAGTATTAAAAAGCAGACACATCACTTTGCTGACAAAGTGTCAAAGTTATGGTTTTTCCAGTAGTCATGTATGGATGTGAGAGTTGGACCATAAAGAAGGCGGAGCGCTGAAAACCTGATGCTTTTGAATGTGCTAGAGAAGACTCTTGAGAGTCCCCTGGACTGCAGGGAGATAAAAAATCCTAAAGGAAATAAACCCTGAATATTCATTGGAAAGACTGTTGCTGAAACTGAAGCTCTAATACTTGGGCCACTTGATTTGAAGAGCTGATTCACTGGGAAAGACTGTGACACTGGGAAAGATCAAAGAAGGCAAAAGGAGAAGGGGGCGGCAGAGGATGGGACAGTTAGATGGCATCACTGACTCAATAGACATGAATTTGAGCAAACTCTGGGAGATACCAGAGGACAGAGGAGCCTGGTGTACTGCAGTCCATGGCATTGTAAAGAGGCTGACATGACCTAGCAACTGAACAACAAGTAGTACATAAACACACTCATTGCACACTGTCTTTAGCAAATGGTAAGTGAAATGTGTAGTTCTTTCACATTTCCCTTTCATATCTGCAACATGGACAAGGAACAAACAGCTCATAGTGGCCTCTAAATAACTGCTGACTTGTATACACTACATGCTAAATACTTTTCCTATCCCAAATACCAAGTTAAACACCACCAACCAATATTCTGGGGACTAACCTTTCACTGATCAATGAAAAGAAATAGAGGAAAACAATAGAATGGGAAGGACTAGATATTTCTTCAAGAAAATTAGGGACACCAAGGGAACATTTCATGCAAAGATGGGCAAAACAAAGGACAGAAACAGTATGGACCTAACAGAAGCAGAAGATATTAAGAAGAGGTGGCAAGAATACACAGAAGAACTACACAAAAGAGATCTTAATGACCCAGATAACCACGATGGTGATCACTCACCTAGAGCCAGACATCCTGGAATGTGAAGTCAAGTGGGCCTTAGAAAGCATCACTGCAAACAAGGCTAGTGGAGGTGATGGAATTCCTGCTGAGCTATTTCAAGACCTAAAAGATGATGTTGTGAAAGTGCTGCACTCAATATGCCAGCAAATTTGGAAAACTCAGCTGTGGCCACAAGACTGGAAAAGGTCAGTTTTCATTCCAATCCTAAAGAAAGGCAATGCAAAACAATGTTTGAATTACTGCACAATTTCACTTATCTTACATGCTAGCAAAGTAATGCTCAAAATTCTCCAAGTGAGGCTTCAGCAGTATGTGAACCAAGAACTTCCAGATGTTCAAGCTGGATTTAGGAAAAGGCAGAGGAACCAGAGATCAAACTGATCTGTTTGACCATCGAAAAAGCAAGAGACTTCCAGAAAAACATCTACTTCTGCTTAATTGACTATTCCAAAGCCTCTGACTATGTGGATCACAACAAACTGTGGAAAATTCTTAAAGAGATGGGAATGCCAGACTACCTTAACTGCCTCCTGAGAAATCTGTATACAGGTCAACAAGCAACAGTTAGAACTGGACATGGAACAACAGACATTCCAAACTGGGAAAGGAGTACATCAGGGCTATATAATGTCACCCTGCTTATTTAACTTATATGCAGAGTACATCATGAAAAATGTCAGGCTGAATGAAGCACAAGCTGGAATCAAGATTGCCAGGAGAAATATCAATAACCTCAGATATACAGGTGACACCACCTCTATTGCAGAAAGTAAAGAGGAACTGAATAGCCTCTGGATGAAAGTGAAAGAGGAGACGGAAAAAGCTGTCTTGAAACTCAACATTCAAGAAAACTAAGATCATGGCATCCGGTCCCATCACTTCATGGCAAACAGATGGGGGAAACAATGGAAACAGTGACAGACTATTTTCTTGGGCTCCAAATCACTGCAAATGGTGACTGCAGCTGTGAAATTAAAAGATGCTTGCTCCTTGGAAGGAAAGCTATGACAAACTCAGACAGTATATTAAAAAGCAGAGGCATTACTTTGCCAACAACAATCCATATAGTCAAAGCTATGATTTTTCAAGTAGTCGTGTATGGATGTGAGAATTGGACCATAAAGAAAGGTGAGTGCCAAAGAATTGATGCTTTTGAACTGTGGTGTTGGAGTAGATATTGAGAGTCCATCGGACTGCAAGGAGATCCAACCAGTCAACCCTAAGGGAAATCCATCCTGAATATTCATTGGAAGGACTGATGCTGAAGCTCCAATACTTTGGCCACCTGATGCGAAGAACTAACTCATGGTAAAGACCCTGATGCTGGGCAAGACTGAAGGCAGGAAAAGGGGATGACAGAGGACGAGATGGTTGGATGGCATCACCAAAGTTGTGGACATGAGTTTGAGCAAGCTCTGGGAATTGGTGATGGACAGGGAAGCCTGGCGTGCTGCAGTCCACGGGGTCGCAAAGAGTTGGACACAACTGAGCAACTGAACTGACCTGAACCTTTCATACATTGTCCTATACACATCACATATACACATAATTTAACAAAAATGGGATCATATTTACATACTGCTTTTATTGTAGCCAAGTTCAACAGCATCAAAAGCATTTTCAGGTATTTAATTTAGGTGGCTGTAAAGCAAAAAAAAAAAAAAAATCATTTCTGTCAGATACTCTTATCATCTTTATACTCAATCTCTTGAATGTTCATTACATTTTAAAATGATTTTGTCCATGTTACTGAATCTTTGATGAGCCCTACTTTAGTGTCTATCAGTAAAATGTACAATCTGTCTTAATAATTTATATTTCACTAATAATGTACACTTCAGCGAGCTAAGTGAGATGACCACATTATTCTAAAGGATTCCTGGAAGTCTGAGTCACGAGCATTAGTGATATGAGCTGCAGGGTTGGTTGGCGGTGTCAAAGCAGTTGCAGGTCAGGAAGACTTCCTGGCTTAAAAAGGAGTTGGACATCAAAGAATTCTTACAGCAGTCACTTGGGACTTAAATGGTGTTTAATTATGCCATAAAGGATCCAGTCTCTTTCAATTGTTATGGTCCGCCATCTTTGTGTTTATAGGCCTTTGTTCTATGTGTTGCTTCATGACTGAGCTGTGGCTGCCCCACCACTGGCATCATATTCCTCCAGGAAGAAAGACAGGTGTAGGGCAAGGATGAGCTCTAGTCTACAGAACATGTTCACTTGAACACTCTCCTAGAAGCCCCAGTAGCAACTTCACCTTTCTTCTTATGGGCTATAATTGTGTCAAAAGGCTGCTGCTAGATGAAAGGGAGTCTGAAAAAGTGTTTGAAGCTAGAATTAAGTTAAGGTTCTATTAAAATGACTAGAAAAAGACCTGCTACAGAAAATACAAGTCCTAGCAAGTTGTTCTCATTCCATGACAAGAAATAAAGGAAACTTCACTCTTACTTCAGAAGCGCATTACGAGTTTATAGCTAAGATATGGTAGGTGTCCTGTCACAAAGAAAGAGGTGGAGAGGATGTAAGGGATCCTGCTGCATCAGCTGTTGAGAGGAAGAATCTCCTCTTGGTCACTAACTTTCCTGAAAGTCTTAGGATGCTGAGAGGATTAGAGACCAGGTCTCTAAAGCCCCCTGCAGTATCTGCTTGTATTCACCTACAAGTGAACGCCTGGAGCTGCGCAAATACGCATCTAACAAACTTAACTTACTGCACTGACTCCTAAGCCTGTGCAGAGAATAGAGAGTAAGTCAGCTTGGGGCAGTAGCCTGAACCTTCGCGGTCCCACGTCTCAGCCATAAAACAGAAAAATAACACTGCCATCTGTCTTCATCTCTTACTGAACACAAGATACCTGCTCAGTAAACAAATACTTGTCAACTTCTGAGAAGATGAAGAGGAAGGACATGGAAATTAACATTTAGTTGAGAAACTGCCATACGCCAAAACTGTACCAAATGGTTTACATAGCTCAACAGCACGCAGTCAGGTAGGCATCATCCTCCCCATTCAGAGAAACAAACTGAGGCTCAGAAAAGTCAACCTGGATCACAAGAATAGGCAGACTTCAGGTTTAACTGAAGGCCTTCCCCATAAGCAACGTACCCATAGTCTCTCCTCCACTAAAGATCCAGGTACCATGCCTTGCACACAGTCGACACAAGAAATTTTGGGCAGAAGTTTGATTCAGCATTCGACAACTCTAAGGATGGAGCAACACTTCCCAAGTCTTCAGGGTGTGGTCGAAACAGAATGTGCTAGTGCTAAGGCCCAAGTGCTGCGGGAGAAGCGGGGCGGAGGGCATGGTCTGCCATGGAGGGCTCGACGCACCCAAGTGGCTTCCGGGAGACCAAAAATTTGGCCCAAGGTGTCGGGAGCCAGCCACGGCGGGCGGCGGGCGGCGCCGACAGGACCTGGAGTGCCCCGTGCCCGGGCAAGCCGCCCGTGACGCACTTCCGCCCTGCGTTTTCCGGCTTCAAGGGACCCGGACCTTCTTCACAACAACAACAAAACCAGCGCGCTCGCGGCCGGCGCCCCGACTCTAGTCCCCGCCCTCCTGCCACCTGCCGCCGCCTCGGCCGCACCCGGCAGTGAGCCGCGGCTCCCCTGCTCGAGGGGTCGGGTGGAGAACGAACCGCGCCCTTCGGCCAACTTCTCCAGCTGCCGCCGCGCCGCCTCGCGAGACCCGGGGCCGGACCCTGGGCGCCGTGGATCAGCAGGAAGGGTGCGGCCGCCGCGAAGGACGCCCGGCCAGACTGTGCGATCGGTGGCCGTGCTTGGGCGCGGAGGGTAGCGGTGGCGGGACCTGCGGCCATCTCTCAGGTAGCCTTGCCTGTCGCGGCTGGCCGCCCTGAGCGGCCCGTCCCCTTCTCTAACCCGCGTGGAGGGACCATCGCGTAGGGGCCTTGTTGCGTTTCAGGCTAGGGGTCGCGGCGGGGGCGGGGCGGTGGCTCGGGCTGTCTCGCCCTCACCCCTCCCTCCCTTCTCACGGCTTTCTCTCTCACCCGGGCCTCCTGCAGTCCGGAGCCCGGCGGAGCCCGGCAGAGCCCGGACCTGGCGGGGAAAACTGCACTCACGGCCGGGCCCCCAGACCTCGCCGCCGCCGTTGCCCATCATCGTCGGTACCTGCAATGGCCTTTGTATCGCCCGATGACTGACTTGGACAAGGAATATTAAGAACACACTCGCTTGCGTCCCCATCCCAGCTGCGCCGGCAGTAACAATCTCGGCTCATTTGGGCTTAACTGCTGCTCCTCTTGACTCTGTAAGACTTTGGGGGCACCATGGACCAAAATGGGATGGAGATTCCTGTGACCCTCATCATTAAAGCACCGAATCAGAAATACAGTGACCAGACTATTAGCTGCTTCTTGAACTGGACCGTGGGGAAACTAAAAACGCATCTGTCTAACGTGTACCCTAGCAAACCAGTAAGTGTCTACAAGCTGGGCACAGCTGCTCTGGCCAGCAGCTTTTCGTGCCCTGTACTCCCTTAACCCCTGCTTATCCCCTCCCCTCTTGAGTCAAATAGGTCCCTTTTTAATTGTGAGGTATTTTGCATCCCGAGGTTATGTGTCTCTCTTGAGTGTCTGAACAATCATTAATGTCTTCCTGATGAGGTTCAGTTAATTAGTAAAGAGTATACAGAAATATCAAGGGACGTGAGAATTGGCAGGCATACAATAGGACTGTTTTCCTTGTACGTAAAGTCATCAACCTAATGTGAGAATGACAGATGCATCCTTAAAAAAAAAAAAAAGATAAGCACTACAACCCATTTTAAAGCTTTTATTACTTATTAGACTAAAATTCCTTTTTACTTTCAACACCTGGCCCAGAAATTTGCTCTCTGCTGAAGAGTGAATTTTTTCTTGGAAATAAGCCTGTGACCTCTATAAAAGTTACAGTTTCCACACTAGTATATATGTTTTAAGAAGCAAAGAGTTTTTAGTTTGACTTTCTCCTGCCCCTCCCTCTCTCATTTTTCTGTTGTAGAGGACACAGAAATTTTCTTAATTTAGAAGAGAACAGTCCTTCCACCCCCCCCACCATTTGGTACATGGTTTCATTCCGTTCATATAGCCATTTTTTAATCAGTGTGGCAGTGTTTTCCATTCTGAATCATATCTGGATATTGCAAACATAATAAACGGACAGTACACCTCCATCTGTTCTGAAAGTTAGATTTGAAAGTTATCAACATAGTTGATAATTAAGTCTTGGAATAATTTAGAGACATATGTCATGTACAGTGTGTGAAAGTGAGGCTTTCTTGTTCTCCACTGTGTAAAAATTTCGTCCCTGAATAAGTAGTTTTCAGCGATTACTAAACCTTTTTTTTTTCTTTTTTAAATTAATGAAGAGGCTTGGATTTTTAGGGTGGCAGATATTTTTGGAATCGGGCAAATTTAAGCCAGCAGTAAGGATGTGTTGGAAGGCAACTGTGCTTTCCAGGTTTTACTTAACACTTGTTTTATGCACACAAGTAAGGAAGACACTTGATCTATATTAAGGTATTAATGAATTAGTATTGTTTCGGTGTTACAGTATTACGTTTAGTTAGGCGTTTAGGTTTCTAGAACAACTATAGAAATAGGGCAGTTATTGCAAAAACAGGAGATGTAGAAAAACAACTGTTAGTTGGCATTAGCTATGTTTGTCAGTATTTTTTCATACAAATATTCTTAGAAGGAAAAGTAAAAACCCTGATGTATTTAAGTGCTTGGAACAAAATTGTTGGAACTCTAATTCATTCACATCTTGTCTTGTAAAGCAAAGATTTACACGGGGGTAACAATTTCTTTTTAAAAATTTCTGTTGTGCAAAAAATTTCCTATTGCATATGATGAAGTAGAAAAAAGCTTTTTAGGGTAGTTGGAATTGAAAGTCATGGATGTCCATAGTACTGTTCATAACAGCCATTATTGAGCATGTATCTTAAGTACTTACCTAAGATATGTGCTCAAATATATCCTTATGTGAGGATCTTTATGTGAGTAAACCAAAAGGGACTTGTACTGTGATAGGACGAGTTATCACTTTTCTGAAACTTTTTCTTTTTAAAGAAGTATATAAGAGAGGAGTGTGAAACACATTTGTCTTAACCTGAACCTGAGATAAGTCTGTTTTTGCCAGAAGTTCTGCCCTCTTAGCACTAATCTCCAGTGGAGGGCTGTCAGTGCCCATCTGGATCAGTCAGCTGCTGGAGGATAGATAAGCTGCAAACTTCTCTACACCCCACCCTCCTAACCCGCTTGTGTCTAGGACACGCTGGAGGCACTTTTGGAAGCTGTACCAAATAATATGCAGCCTATTAATTACCTAGCCTTGTGGCAAACCTTTTTTTCTCCTCCATCAGGTTTTCTCCAAGTGAAAATATCTGAAGTTTATTTCTAGGTTAATGAGAGTGGGGATGGTGTACATATATTTATTTTCATAGAACTTCACTGAAACTTTGTAAGGTTATTAGATTTGACACATGTAACATTCTGACTTTTTTATCACCTAGACCTGATTGGAAGTAGCACAGTTGTTGAACAGACCAACTGTTTAATGATACTCCAAAGCCATAGGGAGTCCTCAGCATAGGAATTGGAGTTCTTAAAGTTTACTTGTAAAGTTGTTATTTAGAACAGAGAAATTTAACAATATAAACAATATTATATCAATGATTTAATATAAAGGAAGCTTAGGTTCTTATGACCACCCACAATGACTACTTAATATTGATTCTGTTTCAGAGTGTCTTAAGTGCTAGTTGGTGTTTTAACAGATCATTTCTCATGCCTAATTCTTTGCATCTCTCTCTGGTGGAGGTGGGTGGACTTCAAAGCAGAGAAGAGTTCAGTGCCTGGTAGAAGCAGCTGTTTCATAGCAAGAAGTAGAAAAGCTTGTAACTCTCGTCATTACTGCTCTTATTGGGTCTGGTGGGTCAGGTAAAGTAGAGGGCCTTGGTCCCTGTGAGCAGTGGCTTCTAGGAAAATAAATGAGAGCTGTTGGAAGGAGAAGAATGGAGATTTGAAGTTGTTCTTTTAGGATCTCTACATGCTGTTAATGGAATTCTGGCTAAACTTTGCAACAGTGTGTAAAATCTTAAGATTTTAGTTTTGTGGTCAGATACTGACTTCATTTAATTCAACCTCTCCTTCCCTCAATAAACCAAACCCACAACAAATATACTCCTCCTTCCAAAGCACATGTTCTTGGGCTTCATTTGTTTATTTAATCAGGATTTATTGATCTGGCATATGAAGGTCTATGTATATACTAAGCAAAAAGGTGATAGGAGTCCTTTGTTCTTAGGTAGCTCAGGTCTAGCGGGGGATACAGACTTACAATATCATGTGACTGGTGTCATACAAGAGGGCTGTACTGAGTGTTGTAGGAACACAGGATGGGAACAGTCCACTCGAGCCGGGGTTAAGGGAATGTGAAGCTGTTTTAGAAAGGATTCACAGAAACATTTTTCTTAAGGAATTGATAACAGTTTTAAGGAGGTAAGATGATAGTTTCTTTTTTTAACTGTTCTTTCAGAGTTCTTGTTGCCCTGATGATTTTGAATGCTTTATATTATCTAGTACTTGGTAGTATAGTACTGTGTTAAAAGATTATAGATCTATAACGGGCTGCCAGGGGGGAAGTGTTTTCCAGTTAGGAAGCAAGGCAGTTGCTACATTTATGCAGAAGTTTAAACAGTCATTATAGAAAACTTCAGATCTGAAATTGAGCTCTGGTGGAGATTTATCTAACTTTGATGTTGATACTTGGCTTAGAACATGGTTTAAGACCTGGTTAGTGCAGCAGTTCCCACTCCAGTGCTCTTGCCTGGAGAATCCCAGGGACGGGGGCCTGGTGGGCTGCTGTCTATGGGGTCGCACAAAGTCGGACACGGCTGAAGTGACTTAGCAGCAGCAGCAGCAGGGCAGCAGTTCATGTTGATAGTGTATATAACTGTGAATCATATTCTAATGTGACATTTGTCATCACTTAATGATTTTAGGTTTTCAGTTCTTAAACTTGGCCTGTAGTGTGAAATAATTATTCTGAAATTTAGGTAATTGCTACTAGTGGGTGAAGATAACCTATCAAGAGGACTACTTTTACTTGAGCAGTTTCAGACTTTGATCTAGTTTAGACCAGGTATGTAAATATCAAAATTGTTGAACTTAATGTTATTCAGTAGAATGGACTATCCTAGAGGAAACTTTAAAAATGGGAAATAAAAAATAAGAATTTGTAAATCCAATTAGGCACCTTTTTCATTATCTTGTTTCTTACTATTTGCTCTTATACACAAACTAAGATGAACGTGATTTACCCTTGAAGTCAGTTTTGAAGGGACTTGTATCCTTTTGCTTCCCCTTTTTCAGTCTTGAACTCAGAGTGCCTGTTGAGCATGTCCCTCAGTTCTGGATAGATTTCCCCTCTCTTGCTACCTTTTCAAAGTGTGCCTTTGCTCTGATTCTTTTAGAATTAAAGAAATTGGAATAGAACTAGTTGTATAGATTCTATTCTGAGAATATAACATTGCATAATCAAATTGCCTAGAGTTCAGATAGGAGTCTGACTTTCATTGTCAGTAGAAGTAGCTTTTATAATACAATTTGAGGTTTATATCTCCCTTACTTTTGTAATTCCCTATTACCTTACTTAGGAAGGTCATTTTTTAAAAAAAAACTTGTAAAATATTGGCTATATTCCCTGTGTTGTGCAATATAGCCTTATAACTTAAATTTTACACATTATAGTTTGTATCTCTTAGTCCCCTACCCTTTTATTACCGTCCCCCTTCCCTCTCTTCACTGGTAACCACTAGTTTGTTCTATCTGTGAATATGTTTCTTTTTTGTTATATTCACTAGTTTGCTATATTTTTTAGATTGCACATATAAGTGATATCATATAGTATTTATCTTTCTCTTTCTGACTTACTTCACTTATCATAACTAGACAGGTCATTTTTAAAATTTGCTTGCTTAATCACCTCAGAAGTATTGATTTAAAGGGGCTATAATCCACACTAATTTTTGTTTTATAAGATTTTTATCAAAGGTTGATGGAAAGTTAAAAGTTTTGAATGAGTGCTGACTAAAGTTTGTTTTATTTAGCTCCTCTTGTAGCCTTTTTCTAATGTCTTTTTTGGAAAATAACAGTACTGTGAAGGTGATGTTTTGTTTCATCATTCATCAGTGCTTTTAAAAATAGAATTTTTCTAGAACTTTATTCCTTTCCTTTACATAATAATTTTTTGGTGTGTGTGTGTTTGGGGGGGTGGGGGTGGGTTGCAGCACTGTGCTGGTTGTGGGATTTTGGTTCTTTGATCAGGAATTGAAACTGGCCCTCAGCAGTGACAGCATGGAGTCCTAACCACTGGACTGCCATGGAATTCCCATACATAATAAATACAGATTTGATGGTCTTGAATGCTTTTA